ATATATATATATATATATATATAATTGATTAGTAGTATTTCAAGCCAAAACGAGCCGAACACAAACGAACAAATATTTTTCGTGTTGTTCGTGTTCTGCTCGTTAACTTAGCAAACGAGCCGAACACGAGTTGTTCGCGAACAACGAGCCATTTTGATAGCCCTAATCATATATCTAAAATCTAAGTTTCATATTAATTTATATAATGATGAAATATCAAATGTAAAATACATCCATACATATGTATACTTCGATGTTTATATGCAATTGAATATGAAGATTTAAGTTGTAAATTTGTATATTTCCCGTTTTTAAAATATAAAAAAATTATTCAGCAGAAAGAAAATAAAAAGTATTGAAATATTATTTTATTTTTTAAGATGTATTCCAAATATATTAAATTAAACTGAGATGGAATATTATGAGTGAGTGCAAGCCCCAAGTTTAATATCGCCAATTTTAGTCTATTTTTAAATACATATATAATTAAAAAAAATTGCTTATTTCATATTAAATAAAAATAAATAAAATACATGTAATTTGTTTTTTTATTTTCCGTTGAGAGATTTTAATGAACCGCCCGCTTTTTCCAGCGCTATTAATTGGCGACGGAGAATTATACCCTAACCGCCCTAGAAGGTGAGCATAATTGAAAGCGGTGGCTTAACTGCCCCAATTCCCACCACCCTCATCGTGACCGTACAATCATTACCGGACAGCTTTCGCCTCTCATAATGTCGACCCTACCAGAAGTGGTGATGATTATTGTCCGTATCCGGTTACCTCGTGCCCTGCCCATCCCAACACCGTGCAATTTTAATCTATTACACCAGATAGGGATAGTGGAATTGTAGAAAGGAAGGATGAACAATTTATCATTACTTATTTTTTTAATAAAAAATATATTGTGTTATTTCTGAACTTTACCAGTACCATCTTCAATAAATTCACGTTAATTAAGGGATAAGCCGGCTCGCAGGCTGGGGGGTCGACTCGCGACTTACGTTTAGTGTAAAAATCTAAACATAGTTTCAGATAAGTTGATGAAACGCGCGAACCAAACGGTACGACGACGCTTTGAAAACACGGCCCGCACTTATAAACTTCCCCAAACAGATCTTAAGTTATTTAATTTTGAATGTACTTGTACTTCGTGTATAAAAATATTGTACATATATAGTAAAATAATATTGCTATAGAATTAGGATTCATTCGAACTTTATATGTAATATTTTCTATATGGCAAGAAGATTGAAGATAAATAATTACATAAAAATATCTTCAAATTTACAAAAAGAAATTGTTAATTACATTTATAATATATTTTGAAATTATATTCAAACAATCAAACAATTGCAATAAAAAAAAATGCTATGAATTTTGAAGGTAGTTTATTTCCAAAGAACAAGCGCTTGGCGGTGTCTCAAGCAACTCAGAGGGATAGTGAGCTGATCTCTAGTTCAGTCAAATTTCACAAATAACAGTAAATATATTATAGGAAAAGAATTACATGCATACCACTCATGAATTTCTATGTATTTACATCTCTAACACCGAGTTTTACACAAACAACCTACCTCTGTTGAAAAAGTGTATTTCACTTTTTAAAAATAAAAATGATGGCTTTTTATAGAAAATATTTTGTCATTTGTCCAATTGTATGAATCACACCACGCCCCCGGCACCATGGTACTATCCACACAGGTAATCAGACTCCCCGAACATAATATTTTCATGTACTTTTGAGGAGATATAGATGACCCACATAGGATCAAGGGGGCAATTGCAGCTCCTAATACACATTTTAATTCAAAATTTTGCTTATATAGAATAATAATTTGATATTTTGTCCATTCTGAAATATTAATTTTGTCCTCTCATAAAATAGAAAGCATATTACGTCAGACTATGAACGTAGAGATACGTTTGAATTCCAATAATTGTTGTGTTATAGGAATATCCCGTTGTATTACAGAAATATTACATCAGCGTTATTTGTAAAAAATGAAGCGTTATTCGAGTATTATGAGGTGTTATTCGATTACTTTGCAATATTGTTGAAATATTCCCCCGAGTTACTTGATTTGAGGCTGTGTTATTCGACATATTCCACGTTTTATTTCAAATTCCACTATGTTATTGAAATAACATAGTCTCAAATCAACTAACGTGTAGAAATATTCCAATAAAGTTTTATTTTTCACAAAATAATACTGATGAAATATTCTTACAAGCACGATGAGATATTCTTATAACAAAATGAATATTGTAATGAGTCCTCAAATAATAATTTTTTCCTAAAATATAATTTTGCTATTCATTATCCCAGCCTTCTCCCCAAAAAAAAAGATGGGTCCCACTGCTCTTTACATGAGAATTGGGAGCGGTATATATGTAAAGGCCCCTTACACTATATCACCACTACCACTACACAAGCCAACATAGCCATCAACAAAAGCAAAGCAGCTCATCTTCCAGATGGATTACTCCATCTCCTTGCTATCACTCATCTTCCTCCTTCCACTCACCCTCTCCTCTCTTCCTCCTCCTCCCAACCATCCATTCTCCAAAATCTACGCTTTCGGCGACTCCTTCACCGACACCGGCAACACCCACTCCAGCACCGGCCCCTACGCCTTCCGCTCCGTCTCCAATCCCCCCTACGGCACCACCTTCTTCCACCACCCCACAAACCGCTACTCCGACGGCCGCCTAGTCATCGACTTCCTCGCAACCGCTCTCTCCCTCCCCTTCCTCCCTCCCTACCTCAACCAAAGCTCCCACTTTTCGTCACATGGCGTCAACTTCGCAGTTGCAGGGTCCACCGCGCTGGACCATGAGGTGTTTGTGAAGCATAACATTACGTTGGACTTGAAGAGGGAGTCTCTGGGGACGCAGCTCGGGTGGTTTAATGGGTATTTGGAGGAGAAAGGGTGTGGGAGAGTTGGGTCGATGGAGTGCAGATCGGCCATGGAAGGCGCGCTGTTTTGGGTTGGGGAGATTGGAGCTAATGACTATGCGTACAGCTTTGGTTCTTCACTTTCGCCTAAGGCTATACGGCAGCAGGCGGTTCGGAATGTCATCAGCTTTCTTCAGGTTTTAGTACTCTATTCTTTCTTCCTGCTTTTACGTATAGCTCCCAAATATTTTTATATTTACCTATATCATATTAAATTTTAATAATTACAAATATCATATAAGAAATAACACTTATTATACAGTCAAATCCATACTTTAATGAAGTGTTATTGGCCATATGTAATTACATAAGAATTGGGCGATATGTACGTAAATCTTCATATTTTTTTATAGTCAAATGAATCTTATTATTTTTAAATTATATTATATTCTGTTTTAGGCGGAATTAATCCTAGAGGAAGTAGGATTTAAGAAATTTAAATAAATTTTTTTCTCGTGTTTCTTTTTTAAATTCTAAATTTAATTCTAAATAATTTAGGGTGTGTTTGGTGAAGTTTGTGTGTTTCAAGATAAGGCACGTGGTTTGCGTTTAGTGTAAAAACTCAAACACAGTTTTGGATAAGCTGGCGAAACGCACGAACCAAACAGTACGGCGGCGTTTTCACCACCCGCACCTATAAGCTACCCTAAACTGGCCCTTGGTTTTGAATCATACAGATTTACAGTAAATGCGGATTTAAAATATTTATTAAATGGGGTTTGAATTCCATCATACTAGTAGCCAAACAGTTACTTAATTTCTCACTCTGTTTTTTCAGAAATAAAATAAATAAAAAAATTTTAGATAGAAAGAACAAGCAGAACACATTGATTTTCATGCAAAGGGCTCGTTTAATTTGTTGCCTGAAAAAAAAAATACAGTTTAAAGAAAATTATGAAATTTTTTGACTTCATAGTTTTCAAGCCCAACAAACCTCCTTAAAAATTCAAAAAATTATTGCATCAGGAGTGCTGCTACAGTTTTGCATCAGGACTCTAATCAGAGTCTGTCACGTGTACAGGCAGGCTCATCCATGTATTAAATTATTATTTTTTTACTAAGGTGAGTTTATCTGTACACAGGACAGACCCTGATTAGAGTTGATGTAAAACTATATCAAAACTCCTGATACAATAATTTTTCTCTCCACCAAAATATAAAGTTTCCATTCATGGTTTCTGTATTACATAAAAAAATTTCATTTTTCTCAAAATAAAATTATTAAATTTAATCACAAAGCAATTGAATTAGCATATATGAGTGTACTTAAGTACATAGCCAACCAATTAAAAATACATTGTACTAATCTAAAAACAGTTCTAATTGTGCTTGAATATGCAACACATTGCTTGAAAATAAACCAAATAATCCTAAGATCATACATACCAATCAATTCTTATGCATTTACATATAAACATCTGAACTTCTATTCTTACATGCCTCTTATTTTGCATGAGAAAGTGTGTTTCCATGTGATCCTAAGAATTTATGTTTTATAAATATAAAAAGAAAAAGTTTGGTGTTAGATAAATAAATATAGAGAAAATGGGTGGTATGTATGTAATCACTTTTCTTGGGGCACTTACCTATATACATACCACCCATTTCATACCTATTTATAAATATAATACCTAAACTTTATCATTTGTATTCATAGCATCCAAACCTCTTACATCACTTAACACCTTTAACTTTTTAAAATCAAATATATGTTTTTTTATGTATAGGTAAGATGGTATGTAAAAATTGCACCTCATCCCAAAATATGAAAATTTCGCCTTGATTTTGATCCCAGAAACCTTTGTAAAACAGGAGATACTTAAAAAAGGCGCCAAGCACATAATAGTTCAAGGATTACCTCTCAACGGCTGCCTCCCCCTCTCCCTATTTCTGACCCCCCCAGAAGATAGAGACGCCCTTGGCTGCTCATCAAGCGTCAACAAGCTCAGCTCCGATCATAACGATCTTCTTCAACAGAAACTACACCAGCTTCGCTCTCATCATCCCAACGCCATCATCTCCTTCGCGGACTACCTTCGAGCCCACCGCACCGTCGTCCAAAACCCTAAAGCCAACGGCTTCGTCGAGCCATTCAAAGCCTGCTGCGGCGCCGGCGGCGGCCAATACAACTTTGACATCTTCAACACTTGTGGATCAAAGGAAGCTTCTGCAGCTTGTTCGAACCCTTCTGAATATGTGAACTGGGACGGGGTGCATCTTACTGAAGCAATGTATGAGAAGGTGGCGGAGATGTTCTTTCATGGCGGATATTGTCAACCTTCGTTTGATGTATTTCTGAGGAAGCAGGAGAAGTAGGATATGTAAGGGAAGTTGTTCTGTTGAGCTGTTCTGTTTTCGAGTGTACTAGTGTTGGTGGGACATTTACATAAGTGCCACGGAAATCCTATTTATTTGCATAGCCAACACCTATAATTTACCACCCAAATATTTCATATTGCATAAACTAATTCTTATGTATTTATATATCTTACACCAAAATTTACCTTTTCTACATTTATAACACTGAAATCTTTTATATCACATAAAAAATACCATATGTAAATGTTCCTTTTAACTTCTAAAAAGTTCAAATGCACTAACGTTGCATATATGTAAATGTTGAGGTTTGAGTATTAAATATGTAAATACATATATAGAAATTAAATGGTAAGTATGTAAATCCTTAGAAAATTTTGCAGGCAAGATTAGTCATCTGGAGTGATACATCAAATAAACGGAAACTCTATCATCATGTGTTAAACAGCTTCATTTTATAAAAATTATACTAATCAAACATAATTTTAATATATATATATATATAAAGTAAACAAGAGTGATGTCAATTGAGCTCTAAATTAGTCATTAATATTTTCTTATATAAATCTCATTATGAAGAAAAAAAATATTACGTCTGAATCATCGAATGTTCGGAAGATGACGTGGATAACACCACACCACTTACACAATAACATGATATGATTCATGTCGCCTTACAACCATCCAGACTACACACATAATAAGAAATGAAATAAATAACAATTATTCTACTATTACTCCACCGACATCTCTTTGTTCTCATTCTATACTTTAGCTTAGTGATGGAGAAGAACAATTAATGCTTCACTCCCAATTAAATTCTTCAGCTTAGTAACATGTGGTGGTAGGCATGAAAGATTAGGTGTAAACAGGCTACTGAATTCAGTAGCCACCTAACTCGAAAATAAAAAATCGATTCTATCCAAAATCCAAATCATATCAAAACTTTACTTTTCAGGTCTTTATAAATAACGAATCAAATTTGTTTGATAGAAATAAGAAGAAAAAAAAACCTCAGCACATCTTAACCATAATCTTGATAAGTGTATATAAAAAAATGTCACAACTGATCCTCGGATATCTAATTGTCCAGAAGAAAAAAGTGTGATGAAAGATGTCCATCGACAGAAAATTGAGACTGATCACCCGATCGAGTGAAGTTGTCTCAACCACAACTAGTAAGACCAAAGTCAACCGAATCACGAGATAGACAAAAGAAAATCGGATGATACAATCACGAGTCATTCAGACAGAAGTGAGACAAAAAAACATCTGAGTCAATTATGACATGAGAACCGATCCAAGAAAATCTGATTACCTAGAAACTCCAACCATCCCAGCAATATCCAAAGGCCCCTTAACGGGAGTCCAAGATCAAAAGTCGGGTCGTATCAACCAACCAACCCATGTGGACCAAACTCAGCTAGTTGATCAAATCTCAGTTATCTAAGTTGATACTGTTGACTCAAAGCTAATTAAGCTTAGTCGACCCACCTAGAGAGCAGTCAGGCGATAAACTCTTATATGTAAAATGCCTAAAATATCCTAATACGAACCCATTAAACAATGTATAAAAATATAACATTATCCTTTAGTATCCTCTCTCCTACAAATAAGGAGATTGTTTAAAAAAAAAGAAACATGACAAATTACTGCTCTCTCTCTCTCTCTCTCTCTCTCTCTCTCTCTCTCTCTCTCTCTCTCTCTCTCCTTATTTAAAATCTATTTATGAGGTGAGATTCATGGACAAACCAGGAATCAACATCAGGCAAGAAGATCTAGGCCAAATCCTGCATGGCATAACCAGTGGCGACCAAAATTTGATCAAATTAAAGTTTTCGGTTGCTGATCAACCAGATTCAAATAATACTAAATTATAAATTAATGGTTCCCATATAAAAAAAGAATGATATACATAAATACCACTTAATTCTTATGTAATTACATATCTAACACTAAACTTCAAATTTTCCATATATGCCACTTTACCTATGCATGAAAAGGTGTATTTCAATTTTTTTTGAAGTTATAATAGTGATATTTTGATGTGATACGAAAGACTTTGATGTTATAAATGTAAAAAGAACAATTCAGGTGTCAACATATAAATACATACGAATTGAGTAGTATGTATGCATATGCCCCTAAGAAAAAATTTCATGAGATTAAAGACATTTGCTTACCCAATATGGTTGAGCACAATTCGGCAGTATTAAAGTCAGCTTCCAACTGAAGTCAGCTTCACATTTAGTCCATAGCTGCAAATCATGTGGCATCTACCTCAACCTTCCAAATTAATGGCAATGGTTCAAATCCACCAACAAAGAAAAAACTAAATGCCAAATCACATGATGCAACTTTTAAACATTTGAAACAGAAGACTTCCCTCAGAAGTGAAGACAAAGTATACAATTAATCAACATATGGAATTTGCACTTCAAACACAGAACTTCTTCCTTCCCCTTTATTGTGTGCTTTTGCATCAACTATTCAGAAATATAAATTCTATGTACAATTGTTCAGAAAAGCAATGTTTGATCTCAATCTTATTACAAAACATCTCAGGAGAAATTTTAAAGGGAAAATCTACATACAACCACACAATTCATTTGTATTTACATACCTAACCCCTAAAAATTGATATTTACATTTTACAACACTATGGTGTCATGAACCTGATGCATGACAACATCAACTTCCACCACTTTGAAAAAGTTTAGTAGCAGCAGTATTTTGGATGTGATATTAAAGATTACAGTGTTATATATGTAAATGTGAAAGTTAAGGCTCTAGATATGTAAATACATAAGACTTGTGTGTTATGTATTTTAATGCCCCATTTTTAATTAAGAAATGGAATACCTAAGCCCAACTCAATCTAAATGAGATGGTTGGCTTTGACCAGTCTGTGTATTCCACTCTCCTTTTTATCTAAAGACTATAACATGTAATCATAATAGACCAAAAAATGTGCGTCCGGAATGTTGAGAGGTAAGCTATCTATAAAGCAATAGAAGCGCTTTACATTCTCCTTTTCTAAAGTCGCTCTATCAACCACATCACTGCTGCCGGTGAGCACCCAAAGGTCTCTCGATCGAACTCTCTTGAGGCTTCCCCTACAAAATGGGCACGACTGTGACCTTTTGTTCCTGTAATTCAACCCACATTGACCTTAAAAAAGATAAAAAATCAATAAGAAAAAATGCAGAAATGCTAAAAATGATGTCAAGACCGAGTTCAGAAGCTTAAAATTATCAAGGTGGGAAACGGTCAAACGTAGAATTAAAAAAAATCTATGAGCATTTACATACATGGCACACGGTTGTTATGTATTTGCATATCTCACACATGAACTTTCATATTTACACACAAACACTCAAATCTTTAATATCACATAAAAAGTTAGCACTATTTCCACATTTTAAAAGTGAAATCCACCTTTTCATGCAAAGGTTTAAAGCACAGAAGTGTTATGTAAATATGTAAGTTTAGTTATGAGATATGTAAATAGATGAGAATTGCGTGCTATGCACGTACATTTCCGTAAATTCCAACTGTTATCTCCAAGTTATAATTATAAGAAAAATTCACATGCATACCACACAATTCTTATGTATTTACATATCTAACACTGAACGTTTGATATTTACACTAATAACACTTTGGTGCCATAAACATATACATCAAAAAGGTGTATTTCACTTTTTTTTAAAAAAAATAATTGTGTTGTTTTTGATGTGATGTTAAAATTTTAAAGTTCTATAGATATAAATATTAAAGTCTAGGCGTTAGATATGTAAAAATATAAGAATTGTGTGGCATGCATGTAGATGACCCTAACTATAATTTGATTCTCCATGTAACCGTCCCTTCCATCCTTGGTAACTCCAGGGTTCCAGGGAAGATTGGAACAGACGAACTCACCAGTCATGGAAGCAGTTTATACACATAGCATGATTGCAACTTGGTAAAACCATTTTCGTGCAAATCTCCATGCAAATACCACACTCATCATCTCTATCCCGGTCTTTATCGGATATCTTCCTCCACTCTTCTCCTCTCTTCCTCCCAACAATCTCTTTGTTTCTACCTCGATCGCATGACTCTTCCTTCTCCACAAACTCACTTTGAAGTTGTTTAAGTGAAGGATAAATGATAGCTGGCCAAAAATATAAGATAATATGTACTCAAGATAAGAAAAACCAAGCTAAATTATCTCAAAACAATATGAAACTTTTCAACATATATACCATAAAATTCTTTAATGCTGGCTCCCCTCTCATATGGTGATAGTGTAGATTTCTCTTCAGCATTAACCTGAAAAATTATGATTACAGAAGTTAACATCTACAAGAGACATTTAGATGCATACCACACAATTCTTATATATTTACACATTTAAAACCTCAGCTTTTATAATTATTTGTTTAACATAACCTCAAAAATTCCACTATTACTAACTTTTAAAAGTGAAATATACATTCTCATGCATAGGTTTGTAGCACCAACGTGTTATAAATATAGATACCAAAGTTTAGGTGCCAGATATGCAAATATTTTAGAATTGTGTGGTTTGTATGTAAATTTTCCTATCTAGTCTTCAGCACAATAGACTTCAGCATGAATGTAATTGATGACTACTTCACATTTATATCTTTGTAGCTTTTGCTGTGATGAAAATGATGAAATTTTACCAGAGAAATTCAGAGTCTTTCACACTCTGTATTTCTCCTAATCTATCCAATAAGGAATTCTTAATAACGAGTCCCTTTTATGATAAAAACACTATAAAAAAACTGAAATTAGATGTGAAACCCCCATAATTCTCTTCATGACACAATTCTTAAATAATAGATAACTTTCGGGACATTACACAATTGAACATAAAACACGATTAAAAAATCTAGTTGTTTTTACATGAAAATGGGGCAGAATATAAAAAACAAATTAAGCAGAAAAGCCACCTTATATATAACGATTTGGAGAAGCCCTAAATAACTGGGAAGAACATAAATTGGGATACAATCCACCCACTGCAGCAGAAAGAGGAAAACTGGAGCCATGGGGCTATATGAAAGCTTCATCTGCAGCCATGCACCACCATAAACATTATGAACAGCATCCGCACTGCAAAAACATATCCAAAATCATCAAAAAATTAACCCAAAAAAAGAGATTTTTAACATCAATTAAAGCTAAAAATCAATTTTTTTACACAGAATCCATAGGTATGTAAAGTAAAATCTAGCGAGAGAGAGACTACAGAGTGTTGGCGTGCTGTATGTCTGCTTCTAGGGCTTTGAGGTAGCCTTTGAAGGAAGAAGGCCTGGGAGGCTGGTTCTGGAACATGGCACCTAATTGTTTTGTGCCGTTTTGGAGAAGAGAGAGAAAGAACTGATGGGAATTTGGAAGCCCTAATGCTTCAAAAGAGCCGCTCAATTTATAGAATAATTAACTCAAAAGAATGATGATAGCCTTTGACGGTGAGAGATTGGCTCTTTCATATGGAATCACAGAGAAGTCAATAATAGGAATCACTCGAAGAAATATTCCCAGGCATTGAACCATTCTACCATTGATGGAGGAGTGGGTACTAGTCGCAGAAAGACTCTAGAGATGGAGAGAGAGTGTGAGGTTAGAGGAGAGAGAGCAGAGAGAGAGGGGCGGAAGGAGAGGAGAGAGACCACGACTCAACAACAATCAACAGAGAACCGCGACGCGAACATGAGAACAAAGGATAGGATCCCATTAGAAAAATAACAAAGGGTTAGGTTTGCAAAATTTTGCACCAAATATTATTTTTTATTTATCGGGCGGGCTGGTTCAACTGCAAGAAAAAGGAGGCGTGATGATGTGCTCTCGCAATTTTTATAAATATTTATTTGAAATCATGATACCTGATGTGGGCATCCAATCCGATCGAACGGTTGCATCCAATCGAACAAATGAGTCTTGATCTTTTGTTTGTGGGTTCATCTATATCGTACTTTCTTCAATATGGATCGTTAGATTTCCTTAGGATCAACCTTGACATATTTTTGATATATAAAACTATAGTAGCCTAATTATTTTTGCCCGATCGTGACTGTCCATTCTTCATTAATCGTCTAAGATCACTCAATTATTATGCTCGATATACAGTCTTTATCACTCAACTACGGCTACTCAATCATCACTTTCCACTATGATTGCTAGATCTTTATCGACTTCTAAGGATCGTCCAATTATCACTTGACTAAAGTCATTCAATCTCCGTCCCCAATCTATCCTCGCAATACTACCATTGTCTAGCTACAGCATTCTGGTCTTGATCATCACAACTGCATCGCCTCTACGAAGGCCACCCATTTAGGATTGTCAAACCTCCATCGGGGTTATTAAAAAAATCTTCACTTATTAATTGAACTTGCCAATTGTAGCATTAATAAGCTAAACGAACCTAAAATGTAGACAAATCCATTCATCCATTCTGATGGGGGAAGTCAATATAAATAATGAATATCAATATTTCAATGAATATTACTTTAATTTTTTATAAGTGAATTTTAGAAATTAACAAATGTCAAAATTTAAAGAAAATGTGCTCAAAATAGATGATGAACCCATAAAAAAATGATGAATTTGGAATAAATTTATTTTGTGCATGTGCACATATGCCACCCAACTCTTATATATTTACATAAATAACACCAAAATTTTGCTTCTTACAACCATGCAACCTAAATATTTCATACCACATAAGAAATATCACTATTTTGACTTAAATAAATGTAATACACTTCTCATGCTATATATAAATAATCAAATAAAGTTTTCGACAAGTCAAATTAGCACAGCCGCCAAGAGCAACGCTAAAGACATTAGTCCAAAACCCGGCTAACAATTTGTCCATTATATGAAGAATTAATTAAGTAATGCTTTTTCCTAATTTCAGAATACTAAACATGCAAGTGGCTCTTGAATAAAGCATTAAATATTTAAAGTTGATGTCATAAGCCAAAGAAAATAAATAAATAAAAACATGATGGCATGTCGTTAGAACAAATGGAGTGAAAGCTACATTATTTACGCATGCGTTCACGGCAGCAAGAGTTGATTATATTGTCGAATCCTCATTTGTTATTGAATCACACTCGAAAAAGAGACAGAGAGAGAGAGATGCAAAGTAATAAATATTAATTTAAATTTTAAATTAGTATTTTTTCATAAAATGATGCTCATATTTACAGTTAATGAGATGCAATTTTTTAAATTATATGTCGGCCTTATTTTACTGGGGCAATACAAAATATTTTAGGCAATTTATATGCAAAATCCTGTAGCTCTGATATCCTCTAATTCGGTCGGCTAAAATTGATGGGTCATGGTTTCGCAAGATCTGCTTGTCCAACTATGTTGAATCGGGGTTGCAGGCTAGCCTTTGATGGTCTTTAGATTAATAAGACTTAACTGGAATGACTTGATTTTGCAGGTGGGCTATATAAATTGGTTATTGACTATTAAATATGGGATGATGAACTATTGTCGATGGAATAAGGCTAAACTAGGGTGAATTACCGTAATTCGATATGGAACTCATTCATAAATGAAATGTTTCTTCGTGATGCTTCGTGGATTATGATATTGTCGGTTATTGACCTCTATTGAAGAATCTCACAAGCATTCGTGGGATGACTTGCAATACTGATCTCTTCCTTTGAGTTGAATTGTGATGATAGGCAGGTTGATGGCTTTGCGTAGCTTAATTGTTCTTGGTCCCTTGTTCGAGTGGCCTGCATCCGGTCTGCTTCTAACAATGATTCAAGGTACCTAATCAAACAAGTTAGTTGGTCTATCGCTAGTGGACCCTCCTTAGCCTTACTTTTCCATCTCTTAATTTATTGGATCTCCTCAAGAATCATGCTTACATGTTCCCAATGTACAAATACATCAACATTAAAAAAAAAACATATTGTATATATGAAAATTATAAAAATTAATTACAAGCCCAGTTAAATAGTAATAAATTTTGATTTCACACAAAATCCTGTCAAAATTACTTGATTTCATTCAATATCAAATAAAAAATTGGATATAAATTTTTATTTAGATAAATTTTCATTACTTTAATCCAAAACCCAAATCATTAAAACAATCACCATTACCAATATTTCAGTTCAAAGAAAATAAAGATTAAATTAAAATAACCTAATTACTTGTACAAATTGTGAAAGTAAAATATTATTTGTTTAGATTTATAAAAATAAAATTCTCACAAATTGTTTTTGTTACTTAATTAACATTTACTAATTAATCATCAAAACTCTAAAAAAAGAAAAAAAAATTAATGGCAGCAAAACCACAAATCTAACCCAAACACCTTTCTTCATAGAAATCCATTTTCATTTCCAACAGCTCTAAAAATTAAAATTAAAATTTTCGTCAATATAAAGAAGAAAATAAGAAATCAAAAACTTAAAAATATTAAAAATTTTATTTATGTTTACAAAGGTAGTTCTATTTATCGGGAAGAAATTAATTGGTTTACACAGCAGGCGTGAAATCGTATATCGTTTAGTCCCACATCTCTAATTCAATGTTGTCGGCCTATTCTCAATACTATAAAAGCGGTTTGCGGGACGCCGTTTGGACATACTTACCTGGACGGGGTGTAGGGTTGATCAAAAAGGACTCTCACCTAAGCCCGTGACTTCCATTGCACTTGGGTTGGGCACTGGCTTATCATCTCCCCAAGTGGGAGAGTGAACGTCATAATTTGTGCTAGGAGGGATTCGCGCCTGCGCGGCCCTCGTCAAAACGAATTTAAATGATACTAATTTATTTTTAAATAATTTATTTTGACATTTTCTTTCAAAATTAATTAGTAAGCTTCTAAATAACTTGTGTTTAAGCTGTCGAATAGGATTAAATTGAGAAATTCTCAGCAAATTATCTTTGATACTCTAGATAACCGTAACGGCAGAAGAAATATATAATTTAAGAGTGGACATTAGATATAATATAAGATTGGCCTGGCAGAGGAAGACATGACATATCGGATGTAAGTCGTAAACACCTGTCTGATTTGGACACTACTGAATAGAGCACTTTGTTTGAGTGATCGGAATGGCGTGCTAAAGAATCTTTTACAAAACGGTAATTGACTATCAAGACGATCGACAAGGAGTATCCTCTTAGATCGGATGACAGAGTCGATACTAATAGGCAGTTGATGAACATCCTGTCGATCGAATCAGGTTCTAATTTTATTTTATGTAAATATCTGTGTAAATTACCAAAAAGCCCTACTGACAAATCAATGATGAGAGGATAAATGTGTATTTTATAATGTTGCGATCTATATCTATAAATAGGGGGTCAATGTTATGAATAACGTGTGACTATTTTATTGTTCTTTAGTGAACTCTCTCTCCCCTATATAACATTATAAACTCTGGGCGTGTTTCCGAATTTTTATGGATTCAACATTCGTTAAGGTGTGGTGAGCGTTTAGCATGCTGTAAACAAGATGAGGAGCTCCACAACAATAAAAAGGAGAATCCTGTTAGAGGAACTTAGTGGAAGCAACATGCAGTAGAAAGTTCTTGGAATAATTTTTCCAATAAAGCCTGCAAGATTTAAGAACTCAAATCACCAACTAAATATCGGGACAATTTGCAGAGATGCTCAGAGTCGTGGCTGCCTTAGGGGCAGTACCAAACAGAAGGAGAACTGGCCCAACAATGAATGCTTAACCCCCCACAGGGAGAACCACCAACAAACAATGATGGAAGAGCGATCCACATACCGAGTAAGTCTAGCGATGGGTTGTGCCCGAATCAGCCCCTATGGAGGAGAGAAGTCGACCAGTACAGATTGAAGCACAGAGACAGTTGGAGAACACCTTCTCCTTATATATATCAGGAGTTGAACCACACGAGAAGTTCAAGATGCCCGACTTATAATCTTACAAATATCAGTCAGATCCTAACGACAGTCTCACATCGTTTGAATCGTCCGTATGTTTTCTAAAAATTTATGATGCTCTCAAGTGTAAGCTTGTCTTCACGAAGTTGAGATCAACCGCACTAACGGTGTTCGACATGTTGTCGGTGGGGTAGTCACTTGTTTTGTGGAATTCATAACACTTTCTACCATTATTTGCTAGTGCCCTCAGGCTTAAGAAGAGTATCTAATCCCTAGGGCAATTGAAGCAAGAACCAACAAGAGCTTGTGATAGTTTATTGCACGCTTCTAGAGTAAAACACTGGATGTTAAGGATCTGAAACCCGATCTGGCTGAAGCTACAATGATAAAAGAAGTGAGGTCGATGGTTTATTGGCAGACAATGCTCTTTCACCAGACATCACAACAAACACAGAGATAAAAAGACAGAAGACAAAAGATCAGTAAGAAACAGAAACATTGCAAACATTTTTTACCCTAAAGCCTATTTATAATGATTCAAGCACGAAAATCTAAGCGAGTTTATTATTAAACAATAATGTCATTTATTTATTTTGCACTCGTTAAAAAAAAAATTTATTGTTGTGTTTTACAATTTTTAAGGAGAGAGAATCATGAAAATAAATATGTGTATGAGAAATACATCAATACTAATCTCAATACAGATGAAAAGCTCGTGAAGAAGATATAATTGATTAGACGTAGCGCATAGACGACCGTTTGATTTGGATACTGGTGAAAGGAGCACTTTGTTTGAGCGATCGGTAGAGCGTGCTAGGGGATCTTTCACAAGATGGTGATTGACTATCAGGGTGATTGACATGGAGTATTCTC